CCCGTATATTTGAACCAACGATCGCTTCTCCATGACTCGATGATGAAGGCATTTTTCTTTGGGCAAGACCGAGAACTTAAAGCTCAAATTTTCCTCAGAATTGAGCGTGGCGTTGACGTGCAGGTTACTTCTGTGAAGGGGCCACAGCCCGACCTGCGCCATGCCCTGGCGGGCGTCTCTGCGAGGAGGGTTCTCCAGAACAGCTACTGTGCCCTGCTGGCACCTATTGTCCTGCTGCTGCAGAACTTCCTCTCACATGCCCCGATGGGTATTACTGTCCAGAGGGGTCTTCTAGTCCACAGCCCTGCCCCGATGAGGCAATTTGTCCTGAGGGTGTGGAGGAGCCGTTGCTATGTCCGGAAGGTGCATACAGAGCTACTTCTGAGTCATGTACGGAGTCTCCTTCAACCAGCTCATGTTGCAAGACTTGCCCTGCGGTAAGCTATTGGTGCCGGAAGAAGAGAGACGACGGCGTTGTCTAGCCTCTAGGCTGATTCTCCCATCTTCCCTTTAGCCTCATGCTTGCTATTTGCTGCTCTGGATGGACCGGCCGGTAGCCCTGCTGATTCGCCTTCATTTGAAAGCCTTTACGTTTTCGGCTGCTGACGCCAGGGAACCCATGCTCCCGCTCCTGGGGCTTCTGCATGCGATCCCTGTCCTGCTGGATATCTCTGCTACGGAGGAACTGCCTCGAGTGCTCCGCAACTACCGGAAATAGACTTTGGGGAGCCCTGCCCTCCTGGCCACTACTGCCCAGCCGGCAGCTCTGTTCCACAGCCGTGCCCTCCTGGGACCTACAACGATGAAGAAGCCGGCGCTAACTTACTAGAAGCCTGCAAGCCATGTGAATCTGACACGTATTCGAACACTTCGGGTCAAACCGGTTGTTTTGCTTGCGGCTCAACATCTACGGCTGAGGCAGGGCAGAGCACTTGTTCTTGCATAGGAGCCCATCGGTGGTTTCAACCTAGCCAAGGCTCCTGCATTTGCGAGGNCAGAGCACTTGTTCTTGCATAGGAGCCCATCGGTGGTTTCAACCTAGCCAAGGCTCCTGCATTTGCGAGGGTGGCTATGAAAGCTACGACATGACAGGAGCTTCTCTATCCAACCTTGATTCTTCTTTAGACTGTCAGCCGATAGTGAGAGAAAATTGTCAAGGGTCTCAGCTAGCACGCCTTGTTTTTTCACCCTCTAAACTGCGTGACAAAGATGGCCTGTGCACGGACCCATCGGCTTGCGAGGCCTCGTGCCCCAGCGGAAAAGGAGGCTTTCTATCCTTGTCAGGACAATGTATCTGCCTTCCCATCAGAGCGTCCAACGCAATTTGTGATCAAGAGTGCAGGTACGCACTGGATCCTGCAATTCTCCGATCGCATGTCTTTGCATAAACCAAACCTCCCTGCGTAAACGCGTCACATTTGGTCTAAATCATTTTAAAGGTAAAGGAGTTCATCCTCTTCCTACTGCAGGCAAGGAGCTGTCCGCGCAAACTATCGGGATGGTGCTTTAGAGTTCAGTACTGAAGCAGGCGGCACCGTTGGACGCCTGGCATTTGCTGACTTCTCGGCTAATGGAAGGGTCCTCGGGAAAATCAACTGCACTGAAGGGGTTAATACCGACTGTGCCGTTTATTTCTATGACGCTACAAAGGAAGGAATTTGGGGGCTGTTCAGTGTTCCGCAAAGTAGGCTAACCGGCTCCGGTAGAGCAGAGCGAGAGCTTTTTAAAGGTCAATGTGCCATATTCCGGAGNGCCTTGCGCTATGTTTGCGCAGGCCTGCAAGAGGAGGCTAAAACATCTAAGGGTTCAACTGCTCGCGCGCTTCCGAAACGAGGTTCTAGGCGGCTTTCTGCAGCCGGGACTACTCCGGCAGTACAATTCCCCGTACAATGCGTGCAACTCTACGATACCGTTGCCTGGTGGGTGGGCGATCAAGTGTACCCAGTATTTCTGAAGGATTCGCTTCTGAACACGAATGCTGCCATCGACATCTCCGCCTTCCTACAGTTAGCCTCCGCCGTTGGATCCAACACCGACGCTAGAAGCTTTAAAGCTAAGAAAACTGTCACATCCAACCTGGAAGTAAGGGGTTTATTTACCCTAGACATACTATAAACTCTGCCCGATATGTTACTGGAACAGTCCCTGTCTAACTGGCAATGAGAAGGAGGCATCTATCAATAGCTGCATCGCCGCATGACACACACATATCCCCCATATCGAAATCACTGGTGTAGCGGCGCTGTTGTCTAATGCACCTTTTCTTGTAGACCTGCGTACAGGATAGCAGATGCCCATAGAAGAGCATGCCATGCATTTATCACTGGTCTTGTATAGCCTTTCGCGAGCTTACGGCAATCCTGTTCACTTGTCACGCTTGCAAATGTTCTGCAGTACTTCGTCTACACATTCGATGTTGAAGGAGTCTTCGCGTTCGGAACAAACGAAGATAACAGCCCGCAGGCGATTTTCTCTGTCGTCGGCGAAGGAGTTCAATGCCCATCTGGTACTAGGTGCGTGAAAACCTCCAGTGAAGTACAGACTCCTCTGTATGCGTGAGCGTGCACTACAATTTTTAGCAGAGCGCTGGATCCAGGTGTTCTGTCCTTGAGTAGGTAATATACCACTGTTATTTTGTCGTTAATACGTTAGCCGGCCGATTCAGATTGGCAGATTGTTTTGGGTCTATGAACCTTTCCAGATATCCTGAGGCAACGACTGATTCATCTCTTGCGCATCTAAGAGTCCAGCTCCAACAAAGCGTGAATCTGGAGCCGGATTTGACAATATTCTTACTGACATTTGCCTGCCTACTAGTTGTTCTTGTCGTACTGCTGATGAGTATCTCGGAGGCACGACGACGGCAGCATAAGAAGCGACAGGCGTTAGATCAGAAGGATATCAACGAACGTAGAGATCTTATTCTAGGAAGCCGGAAGGCAGCTCTGACGATGAAAAGGAGACTAGAGTCACTGCTGGCTGATCTGATCGAACAGAGACTCTGCAAACAGGAAGATAACAAAGTACTGGCGTTGCAACCTGAACAACTCGACAGCATGCTTAACGACATACCTCGAGATACTCCTCAGCCCCAAGCCTTCGAAAATGCATTTGGAGCGCTGCATGAGTTCTCAATTAAGTTCAAATCATTTTCCTCCGCTTCCAGCCACCAGTTCCACAGAGTGACGAAAGATATCGCATTGGAAATCAGCGAACTTCAGAAGGACATCCTGACGACTCTAGCACCCATTAGGCAACGGTTGCAGGTGCGTAGGCGCTTTAACATGCCTGGCCATACGACGGGTCCTCCCGTATTGGGCCAGTCCAGTCTGTGGACTTCCAGGGTTTTGCGGGCTTTACGGGTTGGCGCCTTAGTAGCTGGAATTTCTTGTTCGTCTTTTTGATATTTTGTCATCGCTTCGCTGCAACGCGTATGCTCTGCTTTGGGGAAGGTGGCTAAAGCCAGTGAGCATGACTCGTCGTTCGCCCTTCTGGAGTATCGTTGTGTGTACAGCACCGCGATCGGTTGAGGGAACAGATGGGTCCAATTATGGAAAATATCAATCGCCTGCTTGGCGAATTAAGATCAGCCGATCTGTTCATGAACGCTGCAACATCCTCAAACGACAATGAAGAACTTGAAGAAGGCGAGCACGCGCTAATTGTGAAAAGACTTCTTGTTCCTGCCAACATCGGAGAGCCTGCAACTTTGCAACTTCGGCTGCTCCACGCAACTATCTGTGCGGAGCGTTTCACCACCCAGAATNTTGCGATCATTAAGGCTCAACAAAAGCAAGGTGAAAAATGCGCGGACCCACTTTCCCAGGAGAAGGAGCAGCTGCTAGAGGAGGTTCACAGCCAACTAACCGACGGTTGCAAGCTATTAGCATCCGGATCAGACGCCAAAGAAGGCATGAAGGAGAGGTTTGCTGAGTACGCAAGGAGGGAGGAAGATATTTTGGACACGTGCCGCAAGCAGCACTCAGCAGCAATTGATGCAGAAGTGTCTTTAGCAGTCCAAGGCCTTATAGATCAAGAAGATGCGCTTCTACAACTGCACCTCAGTCGGCTCTTGGGCCTAACCTCTGCCGTTCACGGGTCACCTGGGGATAACCGAAGCGTCAATCAAAAAGCTTCCAGGTCCCTTCAAAGCTACAGCAATGACTGCAGAGCACAATTTAAGCAAGCCCTCAAGACGGCGACAGAAGCGCTGCAGAAACGGCTTGGTAAGGGCATTCAGCCAGGTAGCGCCTCCGCAAGCGTCCGCGTGGCGACAACACTTGGGGGGGGGAGAATCACTCGGGATATCCTGGTCTGCAAAAGTAAAACTGCCATTTGCATTTACCCACACAGTGGACCCTATTCAGTGTTGGTCCGTGCAGGAGAGGCTCTGGCACGTGACCAAGCCTCAGCAGAGGCCCAACAGCAGCAACGTGAAGCCCTAGTTACAGTTCTTCTTGATCAGAAAGCTCGGGGAGAGGAGGAATATTTGGCAGGTGTCCACCGCCTCGAACGGCAACTCTTACTTCTTTGCACCCAGCTGGCAATACAGAATAAAAAGTCGTTTGAAGAAGGAGCATTTCAGGTGTGTTGCGTATACCCCTTAGGTAATGGCTAAGCTTATACATCCCACCCTGCCAGTCTTTGTCCAGCAAGAGCTTCCTTAAATGTTATACCTAAACAATAGAACCACTTTCTGTGTCAGATAAGCCAGCGGAGTCCAGCTGCATCCGTTCTCATGTTCAGGCTGCGGTGCGTGACTGGACTGATGCCCTACAGTCCACTATGAGAACAGAAGCACAAAATCTTAGGCGTCAAGCCAAGGCAGGCGGCTTAGAAGAGTCAGAATATAGGAAGCAAAAGGCATTGCTTGCTTCTTCACTTGACTTGAACATCCAGCGAATCACAAGGGAGCAATTCGCTAACAAGGTCGAGCGCATTGAGCAATTTGAGCGCGAAGCTACGAGGGTTTATGAAAGCCTGTAGGCTATACTGCGGTGTCTTTGACACCTCCCTCAGTTAAATGACAGCTAGAGCAGAAGCATCCATCGAAGAGGCCTTTGATACTCTTAAAGCACGTGGGGCAGCACTTTGTTTGTGCAATGCTAAATGTTTTGGCCTACCTTTTCAGGATGGATGCAACACGCAAGCGCCAGCGACTTGAGGAGGACTTGAGAAGTGCCGAAGCAGACGTATTTGCAAGCTTGGTGCGGCTCCGGATGAAGCATGCATGGAGAAGCGCAGCGGAGGAGAGAAAGCTCCTACGTAATTCCATCATCGCATCATGGTCACGTGCAACTGCGAATCAGGAAAGGTGCGTCCTCTAATAAAGGTAAATAGAACTGTCACTGCAAAGCTCTCGAGCTTATTTCACTAAGTAGCAGTTCACAGATCAAATCCGTCCGCTAAACGTAGCCAGGTGGGGGCATTTACAGTCTCAAGAGCGTTGTGATATGTGTGAGGTCGTCCGTGTCGTGTGAAGATTTTGTGGGACGGCAGTATTCCTCGTGTTAAAAACGCTGGTCCTTGTGGAGAATACACCACCAGATTAGAAGTAGAGCAGACGCACAAAACCAAGGCAGCACAGTGGCTGCCGCAGCTTTGATGAAGGAGAGCGCTTAGGTAGCATTCGATCAAAACACCCGTGCCTCCTGCATGCTAGCGAAGTACTGCAAGAAGCCTCTTTCTGCATCTGAGCAGGCTCTTTGGGTTTGAAGTCGACCTACAGGACACTCTTGCTGCCGCTCAGATAGAAGGAGTGGATGGAGATGAACAGAGTTTGCGGCTTCAACGTGACCTGAAGGACAGAAAACAGCAAACTGAATCTTCAGTGGAAACGATGATAGACAAGTGTCGCGAACACCAGGGTCAGCAGCTGGAGGAAAATTTGGCGCGAATGGATGAGCTGCGTCAAGAACAAGAAGATGAAATGAAAGTAGCGATAGAAGACGCTAAGGCTTCGCTGTCAGAGCCCCGCGAACTCTGGCTTCGTGCTCTGATGAACGAGGCCGACATTGATGCAGAAACCCAAGGCAACCTTCAGGCCATGGGGGAACAGCATGCACTTAGCGTGGCGGTGAGCTGCCTAGAGGCCGCTGCGCAGCGATATTACCACGACGCTGCTGCTGAAGAAAAGGATAGGGCAGAATTTGAATCGCTTGCCTTGGTTGATGAACAATCCCAAGCGGAGCAGCTTCAGCAAAGGGTGCTGGAACGAACAAGCCTTTTGAAAACAGTATTTGATGAAGAATTCCACCGGAGTTCCGATGCGCTACGGGCCACCTTCCAGCATCACCTAGAGGCTTGCAAAAGGTCTCGAGAAAACATAATAGAAGCACAGCACCAGCTAATACAAAACCGCATTGTGACTGTAAGTATCAGGCGTCGTAATACGAGCTTATTGTTGCATCATGCATAGTCTACGAAACGTGCATGAAACCATGTGTTGGATGTCGGGCGTGGTGTTGCAGGATTGTTGGGTTCGGGAGACTCAAGAAATGCTTCGGCGTGGAACAGCAGTAGCCTCTGCAGGTGGTTTGCAAGATAGAGGGAGCTTCGCCTTCTCCAACTTTCGCAGTGACTGGTACGTAACGGCATAAAGTACCCGCATTCGCTTCATTACCACCTTGCTGTACAAAGATATTTGCAGACTCCTTCAATTGTGCTTGAACAATAGATCCCAAAGGCATACTTTTGGTGGGGTGTAGGTGGCAATGTGCTCAGGGAGGAGGACCTCCTAACTTGGCAGTCCGGGCAAATTAACGAAAGGCTTGAAGCAAGTGGCATAGACGACAACCGGCTCAAGCAGCCAAGAGGGCCTGATTGGGCAGCTTCCTGCGCCTCATCGGGTCCAAAGGCGCTCGACGGCTTACAGGTGATTTCTGCCCTATCTAGTGCTGTGGCTAATAGTTACTTTCTGGCAGTGTGTTTGCACTTCCAAGCACAAAGATCCGTATTCTCACATTATTTCCCCGTCAGTACCCCTTTTATGCTTGCGCGAACTGCGCGTATAGGGGTACTAATCGGAAAGCAGGCTTTACCACTTGCAAACGTCTAATAGAGATTGCGCAATAGGCGGCTCTCTTCAGCGTGCCTCGCCGGAATCCCACTTTTGCCTGCACGATATCAGTAGGCTTCCTTGTATAAAACCTGGAGCACCACGCACACGTGGGGCATTGACAGCGCATGATTCCCAGAGCTCTATCCCTTCCGTATCTGCCGGCGATGCAGGGAGGCGATATCAATCAAAATCCTGCGGCTGGACAGGCATCTTTGGAGGCCCCGCAGGTTACGTTAAATAGCGAATTTTGGGCAAAAAACAAGGGCTTTCTGGACAGCATATCAAGAGCGCAGAAGGAAATTAGCCTCGCTGAATCTGAATGGCTGCAAAAGTGCAGGGGTATTCAAGGCGGAAGGACACTAGCAGCTACAGATGAAGCGAAAATGACGAGAGCGCAAAATACACGCCTGGAGCACATGAAGGAGGCGTTTAGAAGGTAAGAATGCACGCACGTTTGAATGCGGCAGGAGTCCCTTTCCCCTTGTATATTGGAACAGGAATGTACCAGCTGCGTGAAATGGACTGCGGATTTCAGCAAGGCGGCGGAGCTCCGTAAGGACTATGCGGAAGAAGTGCAGAACTTGCTGGAAGAAGATAAAGAGGCAGAGGCGCAAATCGAACGTTCTAGGCAGGCGGAAGCCGCAAATCTCGAAATGTCCTTTAGAGTTAAGGAGGCTAGTCAGGACAGCCCTGAGGAACGCGAGAAATTAAAAATCCAGAGAGAGCAAGCCCTTGCTGAAATGTTCAAGGACCTGCAAGCCCAGCGAGATACCCAAAAAGCGAATATCCAGCGGCGGCTCGAAAAGGCAAAGGCAGCGCTTGAGGAGAAACAGGAGCAACTTCTCCAGCAGTTTGAAGCATGCAAGGAAGAAGCACGCAAAGAATTCCTGGAGTTAAACAGCAGCATGTTGGAAAAAGAACGAAATGATAAGAAGGCTCAGCTTTTGGCAGCAGCTCGAATGAACCCAAGCGCCGAAAACATTTACGCGTAGGGCGCTTCGTGGTACATGTTCTTCCTTCCAATGAAGCCTGTTTGGTGCCGCATGAACATATCGGTGTTTCCCTTTAGCGTTTCTCTTTAGCATGAAAGCTAGCTAAGTGCTGAAATGACGCGCCAGATTCGGTCCGCAAATGTTTTGTAGAGCAGTTGTGAAATGCATCAGGTTGCACAACCAGCTCAAGGAGGAGTACCAAGAAGATATCAAAGCCCTCGTACTCAAACAGATGCAAGAGAAGGCCAGGTATAGGCACAACGCTGCGATGGAGCAAAAAACTGAAGAAGCCATGCAGATGGACACAGCTGCTGGCAGGTATGAAGCATCTCTCATGGTGGAGGTGCACGCTTCATTTCCCAGCAGAGTTGACACTGCCATATTCCGCTGAGAACTGGAAGGTGGACTTAGACGATCATTTATTGTATTGTTGACCGCGTTCCCAGGATCCCATCCCTGGTTTATCATTTTATTTGTCGCTTGTGCAAGTCATCGTTCTCCGTATCCTGCCCGTTGCACGCGTTAAATAGCACCAGTATTTGTCTTACGCTGCAGCAGTGAGACGGCACCTGCATTAGAAGGACTAGCTGAGTCTGCAGAGGTTAAAAGGTACACGACCAGGAAAACGTCTGAGCTTCACCAGGCGAAGGTTCGTGAAATCCAGGAAGCAGCGCAAGATGCCGCGCTGCAAGATGAAGCCTTAGGCTTACAGGAAGAGCACCTTGCGCGTGTGATTGAAACCTTAAGGGAATTTGCTGGGGCTAGAGATTCGCCAGCGAGTACTTTGCTTGAGCAGGCTAAACAGGTGAGGAATGCTCTCTAAGGTCGCCCGCGCACCGAAACGACTGCGTTTCTGTTCCCTCCCCTTTACAGTGCTTTTTCTTGAGCTCATGGGCGGGTGTGAGGGGAAATTTTCGTCGCGCAGTAAATAGCCTTCTTGAAGCAGGCGCTCTAGTGGATGTCTATTTTACTACTTGCCGTTAGCTTTCTAGGCAACAATGAGGATTCCAAGCCCTGCACGTAGCTTATTGCTGCCACTGAATGAAATGAGGAGCCCCCTAGTACTAAATAACATCCGTTCCGGTGAATTCCCTTTTACAGGAGAAGTCGCGGCTGATGCAAGAGCGCGACGATCTCCGCCGGTTTGTCTCTGCCCGGCTTCAAGAAGTAGAGAAGCTGGTTCTTGAGAGGAAGCAGGCCGAAGAAAAGAGGAAGCAACAGGAGTCTCACGCGGCTGCTCAGCAAATGAAGATGGCAGCAAAGGCTCAGGAGGCAGCAGCAAAGAAACAAGCCCAGGAAAAACAGCTACAGAGGCAGCAGCAGAGGCATGCAGAAGAGGCTCGCAAGTTGCAGCAGTTCATCGAAGCGATGGGTTCTGAAGGCAAAACTTTAGAAGACCTCAAGCAGGCTTCACAGCGCCGGATAGAGAAATTGCGTCGGGCTACGGAGCGAGAGCGACAGAGGCAAAAAGAAGTGCTTGCCTCCAAGCGCAACTCTCGGGCAGCGAGACAGGCGAAAAAGTCGCGTGAGAGACAAGCGGTGAGGTGCTGACGTTAAGTAGCGTCGTGACGCATTGCAGATCCAAGCAACCTCTCCCACTGATGGGAGCATCAATTGTCACTCAAGTTAGATGAATGGACGGTCTAGTGTTGGATTATCCACAGGGAGCAGTAACAAGGAGTTCAGTGAAGTGTTGTTATGCTGGCGCAAAAGACCTTCTGCAAATGCAGCGCAGTACCGCGTGTGCATTCGTTTAGGCCTTAGTGTTGCCGAGGTAGCCCTTAAAGTTTTTCATACATATGCATCGCTTGCTTCTGCTACGTAGGCCCATGCAGAAGGAGAACATGCTGAGATGCAGGATGCTCAGGGATTGCTTCAAACTATCGCAACGAAGTGCACAGCTACAATTGGCGAATCTGCAGATGCCGACGCAGGCGAAAACGATTTCAGGAAGTTTGTGTGGAAAATGGATGTAAAGGCTTTCGCTGAAGACAGATTGCAGAGATTAAGTGAAGCTTTACTGCGATTCCTTGAAAGAGTCGAAGCCGCAACAAATTCTGGAGAACAGGAGGAAGCAGGAGTTGCCGTTTCTGGAGAACTTAGGCAGACAGTTTTACAGGTACTCTTCAGAAAGAGCTAGCCGACACGGCGTGGCAGCATTTTTATCCATGCATATACCATAGGACGATCGGCCACTAGCCTGAGCTTGCGTCGCAGAAGGTTGAACGAGCATGCACTGTTGCTAAGCCAGCGTTAATTTGCTCTGCCTGTGATCCTGTTCTTGCTTGTGTAGGTTACAAAACTCCTACAAGCCATAAACGTAGCTCACGCGGCATCTAGAAATTGATCATCCAATTGAAAAATGGTCCCATATGTGAAGGGTTTGCGGTTTGGCATCCCGTAGGCACCCTACAGTCAGCTAATGCAATTGATTTTAGCCCCACGCAACTGGCAGCGGCCTTCAGCCGCCTGTGATGTTGCAGTGGCAATTCCTTTTCCTTGATACACAGTGACTTCAACTCGACCGCTATGGGCTTCTACTGCGGTTTGGCAGTCACGGTTTAGGAAGCTCTAATAGCAAAGTAATANTACCTGGAGGCCTGCGTAGTCAGTGATTGCTGTTCATCATCGGTGTAGCTTAGATTCACCTTAGCCTTCTGCCCACGCACGATGCACAAACCTTGCATGGACGACCGTAAGTCTACAGAACGCCGAATCAGGATCACGGGAAACCTCGAGAGGATCAAAACAAGCGCAGGGTGGCATGTATATTTACATCTGCGAACAACCCCCCGCTATGTGCAAATATAGTTGACAGTTGGAGTACTTCTTCGCCCTTTCGGTTTCTTCATGTTCCTGTCTGCTAGCACACTGTAAAACCGACTATGAAGCCGGAGGAAACGCGACTCCGACGACAGTATTTCCGGCTTATTTTATGCCTAGCAGAATATTGGTCACTTCGTCAGGAGGCGGTAAGGGACTAGATGCAACATGGTGACTGGCCTTTGAATTGCCTTCTTTCGTGGTGTTCCTCTGAATGTGTGTAGTAGTTTTGGAGTCAGTCTCAGTAATCATTTCCTTTGTGCCTGCGACCTCCGATTTCTCGTTTAATAGCTGTGCCTTCAAGGGTGTCTCATACGTGGCAGCAGATGGGGCAACAAGGGAAACCGGTAGTCGGCGAGGGGTACTTGAGGGCGGATAAGGCCGTAGTTGCCCTGTAGGAGCTGGCGGTCTCTCAGTTCCTGCAGGACGCACCAAAAGCGGCACTTTCGCAACAAGTGGAGGCCGATGGGTTAGCTCGCTTGTTTTGGTGGGTACTGCAGTTAAAGAGCCTCCACCTTTGGCGTCGTTGAGACCTTCGCGAGACTGTGGGGTAGCTGATGCCAGCGGTGTTCCCGATAAGCTTCGAACTTTGTGGACGGTGTCTGCCGCGCAAATACTGTTGCTGTCGCAATTGTTGTATTGGCTGTTGGCAGCATTCCCAGGGCGTGCGCAGTCACGATGCTGTACATCAGGAACGGACGTAAAGTTGGTGGTCTCAGAGGGCCCATCATTATGCCCTCTCCTGCCGCCCCCTTTTCTTATAGCTCCGCCTTCTTTCCCATCATTTTGCTCAATTTCCTCCTGTAGTCGTTGTCGATGCCTCCTGAGTCTCTCTTCAGCTGCTGAGCGTCTTCCCCGCTCTGCCTTATCCTTCATTTGTATGCATCTGCTAGCAGTAGTATCATTTTTACTCTTCTCTCCAGATATTGTGCACTCCTCGACTGCCTTCGGAGGGGACGACAGCCTTCCCGTTACGCCGTCGAGTGGGTCGGACGGGACGCTGCTGCTATCCGTTGTGTTCATCCTCATGAGGTCAGCTTTTTTCATGGACTCCCTAGAGCAGGCGCGCTGTCGATCAGGGCGCTTTTTGCGCTGCACCTTCTGGTGCTGCCGTTGATTAAGCAGGACTACTTCCTGTAGAGCGGCGATTTGACGAGCAAGATTGATCCACTGCTGCTCCCCAAAAGCAGGCTGCAATTCGCAACACGTATTATCGCTCCTTGGGACAGGAGCATTCGTTTGACGTAACACCCCTTTACTGGTCTCCGCACCCCTGCTTGTGCAGCGGATCTGTGACGCACCGCTGCTTGTGCAGTGGAGCTGCGAATCAGCAATTAAGCGCTGTGGTGGAGATTGAGGCAATCTTTTGTGCGTGTGCAGACCTGAAGTCTCCTCTGGTATGGGCGGGTTTGCATGGCAGTCTTCCGCAGCACTCGCCGGCTCTCCGCAGGCAGTTGAAGTTGCCACTTTGCGGTGAGCTCCAGCCCCCAGCAGTGCCATCTGCCCGCGCACCTCTCCCTCGAGAGAAAGCAGCTGCTGCAAGGAATCATTGTTGCTGGTGCCGTGCTGCTTCTGAAGCAGAAGGGTCGCTCTTGTCTGTACAAGCTCTCTTGCGGCGAGAGCATCTGCTGCCCCTTCGTACAATATGGATGTGGGAGCATTGGAGTCACGCTTTGTTATGTTAACTTCGCGTCCTTGGCTCGTTCCTTGCTGGGCTGAGCTTTGCGTGCTTAAGGTGACGTTTAGAGGCGCGATGCCCTTACTGTTGCCTTGGGACTCATCACAGTCCTTCTGCAGCAGAGCTGGGCTGACAGACAGTCGTGTTCCCCCTATGCCTGGTGCTGCAGAACGCAAACCACATATTGAGTGAGATAAGCGTTGTCACATCTGTATCACAACGCAAGAATAAATTCTGCCCGTCGGCATGCATTGAAAGAACTTAAAGCGAGCACCAGCTGCTCACATTAAAAATTTTCTTTGCTGAGGGGTGCAACAAGCATTCCAGCATGCGGCTGACTTGTAGAGGCGATGGCAAATTCAGATGGTGACAAACTCCTTTGCATATGCTTGTGTAGGACAGAAAGACAGGCACCAAGACGGTCAGCTGCTGGACGGTGAGGTGCGATGGCTTTTCGAAGAGAAAATCCTACTGCTTCATTTATGAGCGTGTTGTTTCTCTCTGTTCTCGCTTTCCTCAGCTGCGACTGCTGCTCCAACTGCTCATTCAGCAAGCGAGAGCGAACTGCTGCCTCACGGGATCTAAGAGCCCTGCCCATACTGCTTCTTTCTTCACAATAGCATATTGCTTGCTGCAGGGACTCCAGCCTGTGTTGCTGCTCTTCAATTACTCCCCACGAAGAGCTGGTTGCAGCATTCTGTTCAGCGGTGCCATGATTAAGGCAACCATTCCGACAGTAATTGGAAGCGGTCATAGCCTGACGGGCCGTGCTGCATCTCCCGTCAGACCTGTGCTCATTTACAAGGGCACTTACTACAGGCGTAGTTGGCCAGTAGCCTGAATTCAGCTCCTCTGGAAGAACGTACGACTTCGAAAGGTGGCTGGTGGAGGCGCTCTGCGGAGACAGCAAATGCTGCCCCACAAAACTGTCTAGGAGGCGGCTTGAAAGGGAGGGCTTATGGAACTCTCCGGAAGCGCCAAGCTTCCCACTCAGTTCGTCGGCAGTGCCCGTAGTCTGTGCTTCTGCCATAATGGTAGATTTGCCAGCGGTGCCACCCGGAGCAATCGACGCGAGAGAATCCAGCTCGGCTGCATCTTCAAACTCTTTAAGCGCAGGCGGAGTTGACGCAGCCTCTAGGCCTCTAATTTTTTCAAGCTCTTCAGAGGGTGAACTCATGTTGCCCTAACTGTCCGTTCACATACGTGGAATGTTGGTCCGCCTGCTTCTCAATCTCAACGTTTGTGGGGGTCCACGCAGGTTTATTCCTCATTCCATATAGGGCCAACTTGACCATCTGTCAATTTCAAAGCTGCAAAGGCCGCCATGGGGTTAGGCAGTGACGCGTCCACGAATTATTTTCTCGCGGGAAAAGTACTACGGCAGAATTCTAGATACAAGGAAAACACTATGGTCGTACATATGACGTTTTTCTAGTTTCAGCAGCGTGCCCGAAAAGGGAAGCGAAGAACTGCTGTCGCTACACTTTGTGTGCTCGACTAACTCGTGAGCGGCGGCGTCATAGTGCCTCAAGGGGAAATATGCCTCGAAAAGCTGAAATCATCCGCTCTTCTTTCCAGTTCAGCTTCGGTATTTCCAGTGAATTCTTCTAGCCTGCCTAACTAGATGTTCTCTGCGAGCGGGGAACACCAAGCCCCAGGGCGAAGTCCAACGAGGTCACTGCGCTGGTGCACGATCAGTCGGAGATCTACGCACGCACATTTTCCACTTGCATGTAGGTACCTGAAGATATGTCTGTAATGTGAGCTAAGTTTCTGGTTGTTGTTCGCAAGGGGAACAATCCGAGGAGCACTGGCGACACAGTCTGTCTCGTGGAGGGGACCACAGGACCTCCCGCACGATTGGAAGATCCCTGGAACCTGTAAAACTCTTCCCAGCCGCCCCCAAACACCGCTGCAAAGAGTTTGATCAGGATAATTTGCTGGTACGGAGGTTATTTATCGTCCACGAAAGGCCTCTGCATTGCCTGCCAAGGCTCAATGCCGGACTGGACACAGACTCCGACAGACGTGCACCTATTGAACTCCTGGATATCCGGAGGAGGTGGATGCTTTCTTCTTGTCTTTTTGTTGCCAATGCCGGGCATTCGGCTTTTTCAATAGGGCAGTGCCACTTATGCTACCCGCTTTACAACGTATACTTCGCGCCGTCGGTGCCCATTGGGCCCTTCTTTCGTTGGCTGCAGCTTCGTCGCACACAAGTTCCCACGATACTGCCGTCTTTGTGTCTCTGTTCCCTACATGTTTCCAAAGGAGGACAAGAATATCTGGAAACCGCATTTCAGTGTTCGGCGAGTCAGTTTGGAAGCCTCCAGTACCGGCTGCAGCAAGGAGACACTGATGTTTTCCTTAGCTTGACTACGCAGGCAAGCTGCAGAAAGCCTCCACCAAAGCGTCAAGAATGTGGGAAGCTGTGGTCCGGCTTCCTCATTCACACACAACGGCTAAGAATACTCAAGTAGGAGAAGTCCGCCACGGAAACCGACAAATGCCTGCATTCGCGCCTAACCCAGATTGGGGTCTCCCACGGCCCTGGGCTAAAGCTCCGCCTTGTAAAGCTAGGAATTCTCGGTCCATTTGCAGCAGGGATATGAGTCCAATTTGCAGCGACGCAAGTGACACGGAACACGTGGATCGGAGCGCTTGGACCTTTCAACAGGGCGGCCTCATGGTGCCTCCACCGCCACCGCCACCTCCTCCAGATCAACCGCCACACGCCATGCCTGGGGGGTCCACAAGCTCATCGGCAGTACCTCCATTGCATATTCCCTGCTCTCAACCGCCGCCCCAACTGACAATACCGCTTCCACCTGCCGAACCTCCCAACAGTATTGAAAGTCCGCAAGCTACCGGCGAAGGCGAAAGGCCTCCTACTCCTCCATGGAGAAGAAACAAGCTTGCCTCGAGTCATAGTCCGTGCATATGGGAAAGCCTGCAAAACGAAGCGCATTTCTTCCCGTGGGGTAAAAAAGAGCAACAATCGGGCAACTCACGCCGCCATGCGAGCTTGAGTTTAGCTCAGCCTCTGGAGGACCCATATGCGTTGTCAGCCGCTGCAGACCCTTATGCGCACGCCAGTAGCTACGACGGCAACAACCCCTGCCCGACCATGAATTCACCGGGGACGGTGGTTGTGCAACAGATTGAGCCAGTGGCAAATTTCACGGCTAGTGCATCTCTTTCTGCTGCTTCTGAAAGCTGTGTTGGAATGTCAGACAACGTGCCATTGCTATTGCCTCCTCCTTTACCATACAAAGTGATGGGCCATGCCCATGCGCCAGCAGGACGGCCAAGCTGCTCCAATTACACGTATCATCCGGCATCGGCAACAGCTCCAACAAGAGAGCGGGATCAATGGTTGCCTCCTGAAGCCCATCGAATGCGCCAGCGGATACGGGCGCGGCAACGAACTGAAGGGATAGTTCCTCAGGGTGGTCCTGGGGGCCTAACTCCTTTTCCCTTCTCTCCTCACTGTTACTACCCACCTCACCAACACCCCCACCAGCAACCGCAACCCGATAGGGCCTTACTAGCGCTTAGGCGCACCTGCTACCGATGCAGAAAAAGAGGCCATGAAGCTAGCGAGTGTCCTAATGGGCAGGGAGTGCGCCAGATGCGCTTGGATGCTCGATCTTCCGGAGATAGGATTCCCGAAGACGTAATCCTCCAGGACAGCTGCGAGCGTGCCACAACCCATTGAGTCGCCGCTGTTTGCTTAGTCCCTCACAGTAGGCCTTCAATTATTGTTCATCAGATGGCAAGCCACTGGTTTCGCCGAAACTGTAGCTCTTGTCTGTTGCATTTTCCTTACTTTCGGTTCATCCAGCATGTATCGCCAGTGCAGCAAATATTAAGCACTTTCTGTACAGGCCACTCGTCCCGTACAACCTGGATATCTCCAATAAAATCGGTTCCATTTGACGTAGTCCTTACGCGTAACAAAGTAAAATGCGTTCACAGAATCCGGCGGAGGCATCCCCGGTGCTTGCTTGCCCTTGTGAGATGCCTCTTATTGGNCCCGTGCTAATCTTTTCCATAGGTAGGAGGTAGGAATGAGACGTTTAATGATCGTGTGAAAGCAGGAAGTCATCGTTCCTAGCACTCTCCGTTGAACGTGAATATTTGTTGTTCCGGTCACTGCTCAACCTGCTACTCATAAAGACGAATCAAATGTTTTCTCCTGCGCGCCAGCCAAAGCATTGCCTTTGCAACGCCCGGTGAAAGGATAGCAAGTCCTAGACTAGGGCATTGGCTATGGAGCAGCGCATGACGTTCTGCGCCGTCTCTCTGCGCTAAATCGATATTTGTTCCAGCACGAAGGCTGGACGAAGTTCTGCTGCTCAGCGACAACATGAACAGCTACCGACGTGAACGTCAAAGAGCTGCTGAAGTGTCGATGAGGTCTGCCTCTTCTGAAGCGGCAACCAATCTAGGCTTGCAAATGGGTATTAACGAAGCGTAGGGCGGCAGTAAGATGGCAGCTACTCCACTGTTTACGACATAAAGCGCATCAATCCGTGTTCCATGTCAACTAAACATTTTATTTTCATTTTTCTTGGTTCAATTTGCTACTCTGGCAAAGTGGCCATTGCGGGGAGCGCTTCCTCGTTCTCGCTGGGTTCCCCCGTGTGCCAAGACGGTTTCGTCTTTCCCCCTCCTTTCAGCCGCCAGTATTCCTTCATATACACCTACGGCTGGACGTTTTTTGTGTCTTGTAAGATCCACGAAGACAATGCTTCCTTTCCCAAATCAACATTCTATGCTTAAGGTCCAGCCGCTGAAGATATTCAGCGGGTACACCTTAAGCAGTCTTTAGTAGCTCGATACTACCGTATCACTCCGCAGCTATGCAGTAGTTCGAGTGCGTCCCTCGTCACTTTCCCCTGCAACTAGGGCAACTAGTGAACTAGATTCCCTCAGCTTTTCCAGAAATGGTTAAGGAGTACTGGGGACCAGCGAGGCACTTTTTGTATCTAGGAGTCTGCAATTATTCACGTCTGAATGTCCCCGATGTATAATTTTAAGTAGTTTCTCATACTGCATATATTTTCCAGTTGTGTAGATGTTCGTTCTACTCTACGTCAACAGTGACTTTACGTTCCAAAGGATAGGTAATCAGCATTGCCATGGCTCTCATGGCCCTTACCTGTACAGGGAACTCAGGGGAGTCCAGCATATACTTCAGTGGGTTTAGGGAGGAACGCACCATGATGGTGTCACCGCTACTATTAGAGCCATAAGCTCTATCAGAGATGGATATCAGGGTATCTCCGCTCATAAAAAAGTCTTGTTAGTGTTGGATTTGCCATGCACGTATACATCTTCGGGATAACCAATATNGATGAAAGGGATAAAGTCTAAACCCTACTCGCGGGTAGCAACACAGCAGATGCAACGCATCTGCATTTGCTCTATCTCATACTTCCCACTCCCCTCTTCCTCCTCTGCCGCGACCTCTTCACTCCCCCCCTGACTAGATGCTTCTCTTCTCTAAATCACAGATAACAAACAGGCATAAACGCAAGCTCATGTGATCCCGAGAGCAACAAGAAGCCAAGCTGTAACTTTAGGGGCCAACAGAGGTGCCTGTGGAGTTGGGCAGGTATCGACAGGAGTTTACAGAGCAGCAGTGGAAAAGCAAGTGATCCCTGACATGTTGTGTATATTCCACAAGCACCTGGCTGCCACCAGGCAGGATCCATGCTCCCTTTCCAGTTGGTTTATTCAATTCGAACTCCCCGACGAACACTGCGCCGGTAGGAAGGATCCAACGGCCCCTCTTCAAGGACCCCGCCACCCAGTGACCAGAAAGAACGGAGCCGTCTGCGCTGAAACGGTAGGACCCCTCACCGTGTTTCTGGCCAGCAAACCACTCTCCTGTACGAACAGTTGGAATGCTCGTGCAGCATGGAACATGTGAAGCACGAATTGCCAAAACGAAAGCTTACGCGTTGCCGCGTTGACAGGCGTATTATACCGTTGCGGTCCTTCAAGTGCTGATTCTGCTCGTACCTTGATACACATCCCCATTAGGATACACCATGCAGCCTTGTGTTTGCCGTGCCCCTTCAACGAAGTGACCAAAATATTTCGCTTCACCAGTCTCGTGGGCCTCTCCTGTGAGAAGGCCATTAAGACACCACGCAGGCAAGAATATTTTACGCAAACAAAAAGCTGCTTGAGCACCTCACTTGTTCTCTGCAGCTTCTCTTACAAGGAAGCGACAGCACTGCATCATATTGTGAGGTGCTGAAGTCGTACTGGAGATGAACAGCATACTTCTGGGTGCACTATTAACTCCATCTAAAATGGTGCTAGTAACCATACCGTCTTCGTTGACTTCTCTTTTCTTGTATGTCGCATCGCCTAGTCCACTCTTTTTGTTGTTTTCATAGCTACCCTTGAACAGAGAGCCGTCCGAAAACTGGTACTCACCTATGGAGAGAAACGACGCACCTTCGCACTCGTGGGTGCTACATGATTCATGGTGTTTCCCTTCAAGGCCAACAGGACTGCCCATCACACGCGTTCTCCTTTCCTGAGTATACTACTCTATCCTAGAGATCCTGCTGTATTGTACGATGAAGGGGATAGTTTTCCTACGAAAGCTGTTGCTGTGCATTCGGCTTTGGCTATCAAATCCTTGTTCACTCTGAGCAGTCAGCATGCGGTTCGTTTCAGCCATAGAACCTGCCGCATGCCATAGGGGGATTTCGAGGCTTACCCGGCCCATGTCTTATGCCTCCGATATATTCGCCCGCAAATTTCTCTGTACTTCCCTCCTCATCAACGACATACGTTGCGATGCCAGGGCCTGTGTATCCCCTGCTGCTGTTGCTCCTCCCTTTAGGTGTGATAATCTCAAACTTCGGGCTCCCCGGTTCGTCGGTTTCTCCCTCCATCTTGACGGGTGACTGAGTGGCTGGTATCAACACACAAGTTGTGAAGACGAGTAGTTTTGTCTTTCCTACCGTGCTACACACGCAGGGGCAGAGACATATGCCCGCTTAGCAGTNGACAGACAAAAACAGCGTACAATGGGAGCACCTGTAGCGATGCAGCTGGAGCGGCGTACAGGCCGCTCCAGCAGCAGCACTGACGCAACAGAGCAGCACTCAGAGATCGCAAGTTCTAGAGCAAAAAGTTGCAGAAACATCTGCTCTAGGAATTTATGATACAAAGTGTTCAAAAACCATGACGAGTTCAGTGAAATTCTACTCCCCGACCAGCTGGTCCATGCAGCCCCGCGAGGTCACTCAGCGACTGAGACTCTGATTAGTTGCACAGAGCGACTCAGTTGTTGCGATTGCTGTTTCAAACCATGATGGCCATCACCTTCCAATGAGCTCAAGCGGGCATTCTTAGGTGAATATGAAGTGTGAAGGCTCCTGCATTTGTGGTGGGTGGATATTCCATCTTGAATACACACCGCCGGGGCGTGTCTGTACGACACTTCAGTCAGATCTCCGGAGTTCCACTGCTCCTCGAATAACCTGATCGCTCAGAGTATCCTAGATTCGTTGTTTGCAGTGCACTGAATTGCTTTCGTATTCTTTGAACACCCATTGAAGGAGCATGTCTCGGTTACTTTCTCGTCCGTACGCGGGCGGAGTTCCGGTACGGTCAGTGTTACAATGCAAGCGTACGTGTATCCCACTCAGCTCCCCAGTAGCTGAATGTGCAGCTCCACTGTGTAAATCCCACTTCTCCAGTTTGTGGGGCCTCTGCTGAACCGTCCCTACGGACGCAGGCCAAACTTGGAGCCTCGATAAAGCTCAGCGAGCAGAATAGCGGTGGAATGCGGGGAGGAACTATTTCGTCTGTGCATTACGCTGTAGCACAGCTAATCTTAAAACGTATTACTGTTTCAGATGGGAAAGCACGTAAGGCGTTGCGCAGCGCAGACGGTACCACCCACTATGGGGGGGGAAAGACAGTTGTTTTGGCGGCTAAATAGAGGGGCTGCAGCAACATTAATGGGTGTTTGATCCTTGGCCTATCACTCTCCTTTAGAGGCTGACAATCCTTGGCGAGGCCAATAAAAGCAATTTATCCATGCAAACCGCCGGAGTTGGGGACTCTTCTATGCGCTTGTTAGAACGGGAGCTTCAGCGGCCGTCATGTTTTGCCACTTAAGAGATGTAACATTACGTCAGCCCAGCGAATTGCCAAGGACCGAGATCGTTTTGAGCTTGGTAGGTCGTTGTAGTCCACCCGGCATCTTCAGGAAGCGTTCTGCTGCCCCTTGCGGACGGCAGATACTCTGCATTTCCTTGAGCCCCTCCTTGCCCCGGGGCAGCAGAGGCGCCTGCATGTCCTTCAAAAACTCCGAAAGCGCTCTCAGGGGCTCTGAGTTGCACTCCACTTAGCTCTTCATTGGTAGATGCAGCTTGAAGGCGGCTTCCTACGAAGTCCACTCCAAAGGAGTGGGGCCCTAGTTGCTGAGTGAACACTGGTTGCGGCAGCTGGTGCTTATCTGGGGGCAGTTGGTTGCTTGCTTGCTGCTGCTGGACCTGTGAGGTTGTTTGCCTCCCTGACGCCGGCACAGCTGTACCTGCATGCGGTGGAATAGCCATCCCGTTAGCTGCTAATGCTGCATGTAAGACCGAGAGAGGAACAGACGTTGCTGTTGGTGGCGGCTCTATGGGAGTCCAGCTGCTGCAGGGCGGAAATATTGGGGCCACCTTGTTGCCATCGGCTGGGTTCCTCGCTGGATAGAACGGCGATTTAGGCTCAGGCAGTGCTAGGTCCTCTTCTGACGGGATTGCTTCGTCGCCGCCCCATGCTAGAGCCGGTAAAACAGTTCCTACCTCCCTCTCTGTGATAGACTTCGACTTCTCACGGGGTCCAATATTCTGCTCTGGGGGCTGCTGTCGCTGCTGGGCTAGGCCGACGGGTTCGCTGCGAAGTGGTGCGCCCGGAGCAGCCACAGGAAGTACGCCAACCCTCGGCGTGTTCGCTGTTAAGGGATTCGCTCCTGCGGGGGACTGAGCTGCTCCTCCATCAATAGTATACGGTAAGATCTGTTGCGGCTGCTTCTGTGCCCCTAGCGGCGGTACTGAAACACTACGAGCCTGACCCCCGTGCTGCATCACCAACTGGGCCCCATTAAGCCGTACAGGGGCATTGTTCCCCAAATTGCGCACACCCACCTTCGTGGGAGCTACAGCGGGAGGTGGATTCCACCGCTGACGGGGACTTTGCAGGGGAACATTTGCAGCTGCACTTGCTTGTTGAGTTTCAGGGCAGCCGATAGGAGAAGTAGCCGGTTTACTGGCGAACCGCTGCATGAGTTGCTGTAATTTCGCCCTAACAGAGAACGTTCTGGGGGGAGGGGGAGGCTTGTGTAGGTGATAACAGCATCCTCCGACTCCGTGCGGAGCCGGCCAAGGCAAATTAAGACTGTCGGAGTTTTGCGGTGCGTTGGAAGTCGTGACCCCGGATCGCTGCCCAGCGACAGCTGGGTGAAGCAGGTAGTTGGCCAGTTGGCAGGACAGTGTTCCTGGCGGTAGCTCAAGCTGCTTCTCCACCTCATCTGGAGGGGGCTTGTTGTTATGCCTCAGCACATCTGGAAGTTGGCTTCTCGCCATGAACTCTCTGCACACCCAACCGGCGACGCAACGAACAAGAACATCTGGAGGAAACGCAGGATTACCGGATATTTTGAATATGCGATGAATTGTGCATTACTGCTAAGTCGCTCACCATGCACTGGACTGCATGAGTACGCTAAATGGCTCCCCTTGTTCTGTTTAGTCGTTTGTGCTGAGATTTATTGGCTTGCCTGTGTGAGTACATCAAAAGGCAGAGGATTGCTCGTCGCATTTCCTTGGCTGCTTCAGGACCGGTTGCGGCGGCCGACTGAGGCATCCCCCTAGTAGGGAGCTCAAAACAATTCTGAGGATCTCTGGATTTAAGTATGCTTTCCTCGTCATTACAGACCATGCATGGCTGTCTTGAAGCATTCTTCGCTTTATCATGCTGCTCGATAGCCTTTGTTAGCTTGCCTCTAGTCCTCTTTGTGGCTGCCTTCGACCCAGCACGGCCTCCCTCAACTTCTCCACGCCCACGGCCGCTCTGATAGCCCTCCCTGTTCCTGTGAAGGTTAGTATCTCCTCCTCGCCCCGCCCCGTGCTTCGTTACCTCATATATGCCAGCTTTTGCGCTGAAACGCTCAGTGGAAGTGGAAGATGTACTCCTGCAGGTCCTACTGCTTCCGCTGCCGTCTGCACGCAGTTCGAGATAATNTCCAACCTACGCGCACTTTGGCTTTCTGTAGAGCCACTCTTCTCTACGAGGCACACATTGATTGTGCATCTGTGCTAACTACAACAGGATGCATCCTTCTACGCTGAGCGGACGAGACTGATTTGCATTGTACACCATGTGCCCGCGGAAACTTCGTGGCTACTGTGCGAAAGGCTCCCGCAGACATATTCAACGTATAATAAACCGGGGGCACAGACATTGGATATAGCACTAAATTTAGTACAGAGCGCGAGCGCATTTCTGAAGATAAAGCTTTAGGCGACAGATGCATTGTGGAGCATATCCCAAGACTTCCACGCTTTGGGCCATGTATCTATATCGCGCAGCCTATGCCTTGTGATGCTTGTGCGGGGACAGGAAAAGGGGCGGTGTATGATTAAACATGGGATATTTAGTGAAGAATGACTAGCCAGAGCGACTCGTAGAAAGAGGCGACGGGGTATAGGAGTGCCGCATCGATCTTGCATGCTGCACAAGCAAGCCATAAACAAGAATATTCGGTGTCCACACAGCCGCACAGGCTGACATCTACAGGGGTTCGTCAGCTTGCATGTTCGGCACTGTGTTGTGTTGCCTGTGTGCACCTTATGCTCTGTCGTGCGCGAAGGAGCACCGCCCGATGCTCTCCTGCTCCGACCTTTCTGCACACAAGAAAGGATAACAGCGAATGTTCACCAAGCTTTGAGCAACAATAGGTTGCACTCTCTCCTGCCAAAGCTAGCATACACGACGCTTTGCAACGTAGTATAGTTCAATTTCTCCAGTACAACTCTGTCAAAAGTGTATGATGCCATCGATAGAAGCTGGCACCCCATTTTCTGCAGGAAGGCCGACCTTCGTTTCCCTCAGCGATGCTTCCTTTAGTTCGTCAAGCAGCACGGCTGCGGTATCGCGATGTTGCGGTGGCTGAAGCCGCATCCAAGCACAGCTATACTAGACCGCATGACCAATTACCTTAAACTGCCCCTTCACTGAAGCTCTGTAGGGACTCGATATGTTGGCGTGGAATGTGTATCGTAACAATCTTAAAAGCTATTGGATTTTTTAATCAGCGTCTTGCCTCGATGCTGTTAAGTTGTTGCTGCAGCTCCAGGAGTTCGTCCTTAAATGTATCTTTGAGCGTCTGCAGACAGACACAGCTATAGCTAACCTAAGCCTGAGTTCTACAGCAAATGTCTTAGCGGTCGATGTGCGAACCATCGAGAAACCGGTTGCTGGAATAGCTGAACATTCCAGTCGGACACCTAACTAGAAGACGTGCCTATTCATACGGGTGTTACTTGACACAGTTTCTGCTAACTTACCTTGACTGCTTTTTGGATTTCTTTTTGTACGTCGCTTTTTACTTCAGATATTGTTTGTTCTCTGTAATCTATGACGGGAGATGCAGAGCTGTTCCTACCTGGTCCGGAGCCAAGGGTACCTCCCGCCTCTTCAAGAAGCGCGCCTCCAACGGAAGCGGCCATTGGAGGAGGCTGATGGATTTCGCCTGTCGTTTTTGGAGCGTCAGACGCTCTTAATGCTGCGGCGCTAAGTAGACTGAGCTGTTGCTGCAGGAGGTGCTGCTGCTGTTGCAGGGTCTGCTGTTGCTGCAAGAGTTGCTGTTGCTGGGTAATTTGTTGCTGTTGCTGCTGCTCAAGAATTGTTAAGGGTGCTGAGATGGCGGTTCTGACCGAATCAAAGGCCTGGTGAAAGGCGCTAGTACCAAGCGTTGACATATGTGGGTTTTCGAGCCGGGTGACGGTTGACTGGCGAATATCGCTCCTATGGCGTTTGTTAATATGCTTTTCCAAATAGTATGAGTTGATAAATTTTTTTCCGCATTCGCCACACTGGACGAGCATACCAACAACTATTGCTCCATTTTCTGTAGACGCGTTGCGAAGACCCCCTTCCGACACAGAGTCAGTAGTTACTTTCCCCCTTGATTGTACAACATCCAACCCTTGCTGGTTTTGCTTACTTTCGCTAATTGTCGGATATTGTTGTAGCTGTTGTATCTGGGAGCGAGGTGGCGCCGGAAAGATCGCGCTAGTGCCGGACTGCTGGGCTTCAAAGATGGGCGTCCCGTCCCCCCTCGTCGTTAGGGTCTTGGCCATTTTTGCCTCAAGAATGTTCATGTGAGGTCCTCCCTGCCTCCCGGAGATGTGGGGAAGATTCAGCCAATACACAGGCTATAATATCAAGCAGCAACAAATCGAATAGATGAGCCATGCAACGGCACCTTTTCCAGCCGCTCCCGTGACTGCCGAGTGCAACACACCGAGGAATTCCAAGCAAATTGATCATTCATTTATTCACTTCCTGGGAGGCCCCCCAAAACCCAGAACAACTGCCGAACATATATTTCTGTCTACGCGTTCTCCTAAGGTCACTGCTCAGAACGCCATTGGATCGACGAAAGTCCAGGCTCCCTTAAAGGCTCGTGCTGGGAGATAAAGTCTCCCATCTCAGCCGAAACCCACTAAAAAAGCATCTGAGTGGAAGAGCAAGAACGTTCATTTTTCTAAGAGCCAAACATGAGGGGCGACCTGGTGGATCACCAGCACTCTCCGCGAAGCACCGCAGCTGATCAACCTGCCCCTTCCAGCTAAAATGAAGGAAATAACTTACGGTATAGTTTATATTGAGCCAAAAAAGGTAGGACAGCGATGAAGAGGAAGGAAGCCTTGAAGGTAACCATTTGGTAACCCCAGGGAAGCCGCCCGTGCGCCCGCATCTGTGCACATCCAACCCTTAGCAAACAACCAGGAAGACGGTGAGAAGCAGGAAGTGAGCAATTATCTACCCATTTTAAGACTTTCTGTGCAAGAATACGCTCTCAAAGTATGTATTTCCCCAATAAAAAATTACAAATCCGTAGGGAGACTTCCGAGGAAACGGCAAATAGGGTCCCTAACCATTTTGCGTATCTCGAGAGCTGCTTCTACAGGCAGCCACTAAACCATTAGGTTAATAATCGATAGTTATCATTCAGCAGTCATCGTTTGGACTCGAAGGTCGTCAGGTTTGCAGCGAGGGTCTCACTTTAGACCGAATTATACCTGAGGTGGTTCTGCCAGGAATATTTGACACTACCTCGGTGAATCTGCGATGCTTCCCATCATGCCACGTCTGTTGTTTATCCAAATTATGCTGGTGATCCACTTGGTTAAGTGCTCTGATTCATCTTTGTTGTGTGTGTGTGCTCACTGTCGCATGAAAAGTCCAAAATATGAGCTGCTTACCTAGAAAGCAAACCTAACTATCCAAATATTCTCACGTGCGCGCATCAAGACACTTACATGTCACACGTGTCACACGTTACACGTTCAAGGAGTTACGCCTCTGACTTCACCTTGTATGTCATCCAGTTTCGTTGTTGTGTGGAAAAGTATTCTTTCCTTAGAGTCCTACTCTCAGCTGTTGCTTCCCGCCAGATATTTGTCACACCACAGCTAGAATCGTACGCATGCTTGCAAAACCATGCGTACAAGTTTTGTAGGGCACACAAGTCAAGCACTTCTCCTGTTATTGACAGTGCCCTAGATAATATTATTGGCAATGTCCTCTTCGGCGATCTCCGTATGGGGGTCTATCCCCGTTAATTTAAGTGTCCATTGGCGGTGCATGCCCAGGGTTTCTTTCCAGAAGGAAAGTCATAACGAGGAATCCTGATAGAAATAGTCGTTCTAATGCTCTTGAGGTACAAAAACAAGTACGCTCGCATGTGTTTCTGAAATACCACGACTGGCGGAATCTCACGGCTCCAAACGCCATATCGTGTATGCACCTGCACAGTAGACAGCTGCACATGAAAATGATAGAACTGCACGCGTTCGCCTAGTACAAAAGCGCAACTCAGCATGGGGGAGACCTGGCTGTGGATGTAGTTCAACACGTTTGAGTGGCGTGTCCGGACCTAGGAGTACCGGTTCGACTTCTCTAGGAACTTCGACCGCCTCAACAAAGCTGGAAGCGGTGAGGGTGAGCCACACGACACTTTTTTTAGTTAAGCGGTTCCAGTGGAGCCCACCGCAGCTACTCGNGTGTAAAGGATTTGAAGTACCACACGAGCCCCTGACTGTATTTGCCACAATTAGCATTCTCGCTGTACGCAGCACACGCAGCAGCAGTATTGCCAATGACTGTCCAAAAACCCCAGCATTTCTGAAGGTGCACGTTTTGTGAATCTACAAGGGAAGCCTACAGTGAGCTACAGCACAGCGCTCAAAGCGAGCATTTGCTAGTAAGAGTTCTCCTTTGTAGGGCTGGAGAGTGAAAACTGCCGAAATAGAATATATGATGCTCTCTCAAAATAATGGGCGGATGTGCGAGTTTTGGCGGTGGAAAGGATGGGGGGCCTGTGCGTTTTTTCAACGGGGAAACATCACATCCTGGTCACATCGGGACAATGCAATATATTCGTGATCCAGTGCGACATTGCTCAATCGGAAGAACAGGCTGCCGCAAAACAGCGGGAGCTGAACACGCAGGGCCATATCGACAGAGTGCTGCATCGCGCCCTTGGTGACCAGTGACTTTCTACATCACTATTCCTTTACGGTTTCGCCCCGTAATGCGGTCCTATTGCCAACTCCTGAGCTAGTGAATGCCACACATCCAAGGCAAACCAGAGAGCTAGGCGAAGAAGCAGCAGGCGAATTCCGCCCGTACGAAGCGATGGGTAAAGTACCGAATGGTGAGTGTGTTCCTTTTGCAATAAGCAAGGTCACGAAATTCTAGAATGCAGGGCCAACAAGGGTTAAGCGACTAAAGAAGCAAGACTTTGGGCAGCTTGGACATCCTGTGCCCTGGGAGACACCCCGCTCCCCTCCACCCATGAGGCGCGATAACAGGGCTAAAAGGGGCGACCGCGCCGAAAGACCCTCCTCGATTCAACTCCCTGTTTCTCCAAGCTCGTAAAAGCCAACACTGTCTGTCCATTCCTGTGCGTGTTCCCTCCGTTTCCGGCCAGCAAGTGCGATGGAGGAGATGCCGATCTGTCGAACTATGGCGGTCAGGTGCCATTTGCATATTGAACTGCCGCCGAGCGACCCACATCTGTTTGCGATGTGGGGGAGACGCGCTAGCTCCCAAGAAGAGGCAACCCAAGGCTATCAACTAGCGCGTCTGGGCATAATCGCGTGCCTGCACTGCGAAGCGAAAGCGTGGCAGTTCTTGAATCGATGAACCACTCAACCACATCTGGGATTAAACAGTTCATTCTTCATTTGGCCTCGCTGACGCGTTACTCCCTCACTAAGTTACACTCTGAGCACGGGGAGTACGGTGCTTTGGAACCTTTGGCTCGCACACGAATTTAATACTGCATAGCTCTTGGTCGCTCGAAAGCAGCTGCTAAATTGTAGGGAAACGCTACTTACAACTGCTTGAGCATGTAAAACCAACAATGCTCGTGCTTTCATGGTTTACGCCTCTAGTGAACCAGCTCCACCATCTGCGGCAAAAATAGAGGCCGCTCGGAGGTGACCACTAGCCGCATACAGTTGCTGTTTCGAACGTTCCATTATCCTGGTAATACACTACCTCCACTTTGTCCCAGGACTTTGATCGTATCGCCGTAACTCCAAGGGATTTATTCTGGACTGCAACGCAGGCAGAATTCGAAGGAGATGCCTCTCCGCAGAGACCAGAGACCTGAAGTCGCCCCCAGAAGTATCTCAGGACTTGGCGAATGCAGCGGTGTTCTTGATTATGTGAGTTAGGCTAAGCCCAGTAGGAGTTGCAGTCATTTGCACTGATAGTACCCCTATCGAAACCGGTGACTCGCAAGAAGAATTCCAGCAGCAAGCGCTGTATCTGAGGACATGCCTTTTCCCCTCCTCACTACCCGCACGACGCTGGACAGGACGCTCTGAGGTTTCCTGAACTATTATCTGAAGTGTTTTGAGTCTATTGCCGCTGACAACGGTCCTAACCCCAGTCAGAGGATTTTTACGGCGCAAGCTGCAGTCCTTCTGGCCCGTCGAAACTGCTTGTTCCACTTCCTTGCCAACGGCTTTGGCAAATTTGTTAAAAAAAAATCGGGCCTGATTGAGGCTGTGCCTAGGCTGCGCTCTACACCCAGTTTGCCGAAGTCAGGTATGGGCCAACAGATCATTTCAGGCAAATAATAATAATTTACGAGGGAAAGCTCCACCATCCATATTTTGTGGGAAACTGGGAGATTTGTTCGCGTCCCTGAATTAGATGGAAGAAACCCTTGGCGGAGCTGGCGATGTTCCTGCAGGAGCCATCTCGCATTGCAGTAGATATTTCCCTGGTTGCTCTTGACGGCTCAGGGGATTCGCGGTTGGACTGACCTTTTTTCTCAAGGGGTCCGGGCTAGCCAGAAGCATAAGTCCAATCGTCCTCGAAGTTGTTTCGGAATAGTTTGTCGAAAAACCGTACTCCTAGAATAGGACAAACTAAAAGGCAGAATTTCCTTCATCGCTACCTACTCGACTGCTAGGATCGAGTTTTGAGGAAAAGACAGTTTGAACAAGGCGGCAGGTGCGGGGGGATGGGAAGGGGTGAAGTCTTCATTCGGATTCGACTAGGTCAGCAGATCGGGTTTGTCTATCAGGGTCTCTCTAGCTACGGCGGAAGCCAAGGTAGCCAACCTCTCAAGGACCGCCTATGGAAGGAGGTCTAAAGTCATTGCAACTGCGCTTTCCAGACTCTCGCCGCAGAACTGGGTATCACAGGAGTGGTTGTGATGAGCCAGACCTCACCCTTTCGTTCCTGCCCTAAACAGAATAAGCATGTCCTATACGGTTTCATTTAAGGTGGCAATGTGCTTCGTAGGCTTGGCCGTATGCTTCTCAGCTCACATAACAAGTCTGTATGGGGCACAATCGTAGGCCCTCACTGGAGACTATCTTGGCCTTGCGATCAGCGCTTTTTGCAGGTCTCAAGCTGCAAGTACCGATATCATGGAAGACTGAAGTTGCGCACGCTAGGAAGTTAAAGAACAACCGCCAAACTTAAGCAAAGGCTTTTTCTCCGAGAGGTTAGTTGCTGTTTCCCGTAGGTAGGGTGGTGGCTGATTTCGAGTCTGCAGCGTCACAACTGGGCGGTGTATTGTTTTCCCATTTCTTAAACTCCATGCCCATCC